TCATCTTTAAAACGATTTTTCTCAGGAGTAGCTTTGCAGCCATGTATTGCTTTACACATTTGAAATGTTTCAAAGCAGTCAAAGATTATCCCTTAGGCAAATGGCAGTTCTCTAGCACAATACCGGAGTTGAAAGTGGGCAGGGAGGATGGGCAGTAGCTTTTGTCTCATGAGCATTGTCCCCATCTGGACACCATAAAATTAATTCAGGTGATGAGAGTCTGTGCTGTGCTCAGGCAAAGTATGCATCCAGCATATCCAAGATCATGACAGTATTCCTGTGGAAACTGACCCAATGCCACTACAAGCTATTTCTCAAACATCTTTATCCTCTGCTTCCAAACAAGTGTAATTCATGTGTCACAATAGCAAAGGCAACTGCTTGAAGCCATGGACTGAGAAAAATCAGAAGTATGTTGTTTTTTCAGAAGCTCCTAGACCAGACTAGAATACCCATGGTGTGACGGAGCCTAGTACCAGACAGACTAACAAGGGGTAAAAGAGTCGAAACAAATTCAGAGCAAGATTTCATCAGATACCAACAAAAAATCTGTTCTTGTTAACTGACAAGCTACAAAGAGAGAAGTGCTAGACCCTGCCAGTTCTGCAATTGATGAGTGAAAGTACTTCTTCATTTTTCTTCATTGTTCAGTGAGGGCTACTGGGGGCTGATAATATAAGGCAATGAAGTGCTGTCTTGCATTTACTCAAAAGATTCAGGGATCAGTATCAGTCTGAGAGGCTAGGGATAGACATTACACATAAACTGCTTTAAGTGATCAGAAACTGGTTTAAACCTGTAACAAAACATAAGTTCAGTGCACATAAACCAGTTTCAAAAGGGCCCAAACCAGTTTGAGATAAACCTGGTTGAATGTAGTATCAGACTTAACTGATTGAGGACCAACAGGTTTATGCAGTGTCTGTCCCAGACACTTTCCTGGTTTAGGTTAAACCAGAGTCCCCCAGCATCCCGGCATGCTCCCTGGGCTGGGTGCTCTGCTCTAGCTGAACAGGGCTGGCCCTTCCCCTCTGCTCCCCAGATGGAGCAGGGACAGGCAGGTGTGGGGATCTACCCAGATGCTGGCCCCAGAAGCATAGGCGATGTGTAGGGGGGGCACAGAGGGGCACTTGCACCCCCCCCCCCCCA